TGGGGCTGAAAATGGGGTCAGAGTGTCATGAAGCACTTATCTTTAAACCACTTAAATTGTGCTGCAATACTGAAGGCACCCTTCCCTTATTCAGTCCTACAGCTCACTGATTTTACAGTGACCCAGTCATGAGATCTGGTACTATAGCTCGAGATGTTGGTGACAAAGAGACTCCAGAGCAGAGACAGTTTACCCATTAGTGCCCTACAAATACACAACATGCTGGGGTACTTCATTTGTTGACTCTGAGAAATCTAGCAGACAGGATAATACAGGTATCAAGTTTAAATATAAAACATAAAATGGAGGAAGACAAAGACCAGCAGATCCTTACAAGAGTATAAGACCAAGCATTCAAAAGAGATAACGTTGCTGTTTCTGTGTTACATAAATTGTGTCAATAATACTTCCTAATTAATGACGTAAATGTTTAAAGAATACATTAAAAACAAAATCACTTGAAAACACTGGAAGACAAATATTCATGTTATATTTATTTTTTTTTTTAAATCCTTATTTTTCAACCGATCCCTTGAGTGTTCATACTGCATGTACCAGGTGCTGTAGCGTTCAGTCCAGCCTACTTCCTATGATGTCAGAGAGACACAATCGCAGGAAAAAGACAGGAAGGATGTCATATCTGTTTGAGCCTCACTTCCTGACTCTCTCTCTTTCTCTTTCTCTCATGTCTCTTAAGGTTCAGAGTCGCTCAGTCAGTAAACAAACTGTAACAACACAAACAACACGTCTGTGTTTGACCTATATTGTGACACAACATCACTTTAACCTTGAATTAGTGGATTATAGAGCGGAGAGTGTGTGATATGTTTGTGCGTACTTGTGCGTGTGTGTCCTAGTGGGGCCTTGATGTAAATATCCTGAGAGTGAGGACTGTTTGTAAAGGGAGAACTTTTTAGCTTATTAGAACATTTGATTATTTTGTTATGCTTGATTGAGGCCAAATCCGTTCATTTAAGCACTCTCCAAATACGCTCTAAATATGAGGGTAAAGGAGATGTAAGTGAAGGTAGTAATGTGCTAACTAAATGTTTGTCTCCCATCGCTAAAGGCAACATGGATTACTGTAAAAAAAAATGTTAACTCACCTGGAACATTTAATTCTCTTCCAGTGTTTATGAGTGATTTTGTTTTTATGTATTTTTTTTTTTAAATGTTTACTCCATTTATTTGGGAGTATTGTTGACATTAAGTATGTAACACAAAATGTCTTTAATGTTTGTACTTTTAATCTTGTGAGGTTTTGCTCCTGCCAAGCACTGTAAATCTAAAAAGGCATAATTGGCTTAACTGCAGTTATAAGACTCAGGTTACATTTAGTTTCTGTTGGAAACAATCGCACCTAAACACACAATGATGTAAAATCTCACTTTGTCAACTTAATCTACAATAGAATTTTGCATTCTAGAACAGATTATTCTAAATGTAAAAAAAAAGAAGTCTCAGCTGATTTCAGTGTTTAAGTGTAAATGTATACACTCATTCAAGGTGTTTTACTTATTGTTACTTTTTATGGTTAACCTACTGAGTGAGTCAGTGGAGTCCCGCCCTGGTCCCTGTGCAGTGAACTGGTTTTCTGCTGTTGGCCCGCTGTCCGAGTCCGACGCCTGCCTTTCACAGTGCAGAATCTGTTAACATAGTAGAAACATATACAACTTGTCTTTACTTTTTGTAAAGAATAAAAGAGGTATGTTGCAAAAAACGTTATCCGTCATTGGATGTCCCAAAAACATGCCAGCTTAAATGACACAGGTGTTTCTTAAAACAAATGTTTTCATCACTGTCCTTCCAAGTTTATAACTGCCATGTCACCGCTCATTCAGCTTGTTGCCGAAAAAACTTTGTAGAGTGTTTGAAGCTCTTTGAAAAACTGCCAGCTCAGCGACTGCAATAATGTAACCACACAGTGCTTACAACTCGAAGCCAAGGGAACAGTTGTGTCATGCATGGGCTGAAAGGGGTGATGTCAGCGACTTATATAGCCATTTAAAAACTAGAGTATGGATTCAGAAAGAAACTCAATGCATGACAAAAATGACCTTAACAGTACAGTAAAGCTCTCACTAAAAGAGAGGACCCGCCGAATTAAAGATTGTGACTAGTTTGTGGACAAATTTCATGACTAACACAAAGCTAAAGATAAACGCAAAGAAAACACAGTTGATGAACATGTCAGTGAAAAACATTAAGATACATGCACACACACACTAACACACACACACCTTGTCAAGCTCCAACTTCCTCTGTATAATCGGAGAGGTGGACCCCTCCAGTCCATCAGTGTAGCTACTTTGGCTGCTGACATCTTGCACCACCTGGTTACAAAGAAAGAAAATGGTCTGTGTCCCCTCTCTTGTACATCCAGCTCCAGCTGTCTCATATTTTGAATAAATGGTACCTTGAGCCATCGCTGGGCCTGCTCTTTACTCTGAACCGCCAGGACCAGAGCTTCACCCCCAGGCAACGAGAAGCGTAACTCGTGTCTCTTTTTCCGCCCCTCCTTCGGGACGTAGATGACATTGCACAGACTCAGCGGGAGCTCTGTTTGAGGAGTGCTCTCTTTGATGCTCTTGTAGCACTGTAAAAGAGAGATATGGACAAATGGACCAAGTATCATTTGATGTTTCTTTACTCTGGCACTAAAATGTTACCTTTGAAATGTTTCGAGCAAATTTGTTTTTTTTGGATCCATCCCTGAAACTAAAATCAAAGCTTTATCATTTTTTCAGGATTTTTTTCTCCTGATGGTGTAGGTGAACAAAGATTTCTTAAGCTTGACACAGGTACACTTTAAAATACTGAAAGAGCTTCCCTGTTTTTGAGATTTAGCAACAGATGAAAGTAACTGTGTGTAATCTGACCAATGATCAGAGCAAGTTTATCTAATAATATAAGATAACTTCTCATTTATGACTTAAGAATGTTCTACAACAGGAGAACAAATTCCGAGTACAATCATAATAACAATTTTATTCACATTATTTTTAATAAATTAGTTTAATATTCTTTCTCTCTTTTCATTCCAGAGATGTTATGTTATATGTTTAATTCATTTCTGTTTTTTTATCTTTCTCATGTCATGCAGTCCCAATGTACTCTGATTGTATTGATTAATTGCCTGAACAAATTTTCTACACAAAACATTGTGGAAGTAGAGATCCATTCAGAATCCTTTACCCTGATGCACCAAATTAAGGCTTATTTTGGAAGTAAGTCATTTTATTTTTAAATGTATTTAGCTAAATTAACACCATATATCTTATCTTTTGAATAAAAGTTTTAATATTTATCCATAAGTAGTTCTATTTACCTGCAGTTTATTGTCTCGGACAACAACTAGCTGTTTAGCCCACTGGCCAAAGCGTTTCTTTCGTAACAGAAAGGCACAGATGCGACAGTCTCTAACTGGCACATCTGAGCTCTCCTCCCTCTGGTCCCGCCCTTTGGCCTCATCGTCCTCTTCTTCATAAGACTCGTAGGAGCTGCTCAGAGCATCAGAGTCATTGTCTGATAACGGAAATAACATAAAAAAAAAGATTAATTTACCAACATACAACATGTTCGGGTATTCTATCATATTTGCAATCAGAACATTCCTCCATTTAGATCCTTCATTAGCATGATTTTATACAAGAGGGGGTATTGACTCACAGGAGTTTTTTGGAGGTCCATTAATCTGGGTGAGGGGATAGTTATTGTCTGCATCTTCATAGTAGGCATCCTCCACAGAGTTTCTGGATGCTACACGAGGAGAGCAGATTAATCCAGTTTAGAAAATACACTAGAGAAAAAGAGCCTTCTTAGTGGTTAAAATTACTATAAGTAAAAAAAAAAAAAAAAAAAAAAACGCTACAGAAATGTACAGAACTGTTCATGTTGGTGGTAAAATACTGAGGTGTGGATCCAGGATCGAGAGGAACAGCCTCTTCATAGTAGTCATCAGGGAGGGGGGTGGTCGGCAGTGGAGGGGGCGTGTCTGTCGGAGTCTGAGGTGAGAAAGTTTTTAGAAGTTATTGTTTCAAGGAAGAAAAAAGGCAAGTAGTCCAGCATGTAGATACTGTAAACAACTTACAGATTTATTCAGATGGGTCTCCTCCTCTTCCTCTTTGTGCTCTTTCTGCTCCACAGGAGATGCACTGAGCATGTGCAAATCACAGTCTGGAGGAAGATTATCATAAAGTACAATATATTTGATTAAATTATATTTTGTGGATATGCTCATTCTAAATATGAGAATGAGAGTTTTTTTGTGCTTTAAAAGGTCTAGTCACCAAAATCCTCAAACAGAGACTCGACAAAACTGGTCCCGTTGCCATAGAGACAGCTGTTCATGTAGACGTCTGATCCATTGACTGTGGAAAGGATAAAGTAGGGGTTAGAAATTGGATCAAAGCAAGGGTTAGGATTGTGTTCTTTACTGAGATCAGGAGAGCAAGGATTACTTGAGTGAACAGAGAAGCAGCAAACAGCCCAAGTGAGATCTCTGTGAGTATCAGTACTTAAGAGACAAATAAATCGTGTGGAGATGTCAGTCGGACAGCAGAGAGTGCAGACTGGAGCCTTTAAATCTTTGTACCAGAAGAACAAAGATAACTGAAGTCACGAAGTGCGTGTGAAAGTTTTCCTAACCCACATAGATTTCTGAAAGTGTGTTAGACACAGTGTAGAAAAAAGAAACTAAAGTTTTTGGATATAAAAAGCTGAATTGATGTGGAATATATTTTTGTGATGTGTCAAACTCTAAAGCGCGAGTCTGGGAGGGACTACATGAGTCCATTCAAAGACTTGTGAAGACATGTTTACATGTTTACTTTCTTTGACCTCCTCTCATCGTCCTCTTCAGACTTAACGTTTAATTATCCTCTTACCTCAATCCCTTTAACCTCACTGGCATCCTGCTTTCTCCCAGATAAACAAGGAGCCACTTTGAAGTACTGGCAGTGTAGTGCAGTCTCAGTGCAGTGCACTTGGCTCATGACAGCATTGTTGCCAATAGCAGAAAAAAGATGCTCTGTCCCTGTCTAAGTAAACACTGTTATTGCAAACTCAAATTGTTGGATCAGAGAAGTTTTGGCTGAACTGCAGAAAGTGTCACATAGAATAAATGTGAAGCAGCTGAAAAATCATTCTCTCAAATCCTGTGAAACCAATCAAAGTCACCATCTTATTTCATTCTAATTTTATTAACCTTCACATTAGAATGTTAAATGTTTGACTTTTGATGTGTTTTATTTTTCTTTAAATATATACTGAACTGTTTGTGTCAAACCTACCACAGCTTTAAATGAGCTGCTGTTCGAGGGCAGACTCAATTCAGGCTCATTGTGATGACAATGAAGAGTAGACATTTTTAATAACATTGCCCTGGTGGGATTAATGAAGTATATCTTCTTCTTCTTAATGATTAAGATAGCTAGACTTGTGTATCAGCCAATTATAAGGAACCAATCACATGACCCAGAACTGTACCAAAAATAAACATTACATCATTCTACTGCTGTCGGCCCATACTAAAAAGCCTCTATGGCAACACCTGTTTAAACTTTAGCCTTGAACAGTACACATGTTCGTTTGACAGTTAAATATTACCAAACTGTTGACTTTGGTACTGCTGACTTATGTTAAGATGTCTGTTACCCAACATTATTGTTTGTTTTAATGTTATTATTTATCTAAAATCATTAGTCATAGCTTCTCTTAACAATAGGTTCTGGTGATAGTCCAAAAAAATAAGATCTGTATGGACCATAGTCTGGTATCTTATTTTCTGGGGTAAGTATTCAAACGTCTTTAAAAAGTTGTGCTTTGAACTTAATGCAGTTGACAAACAAATCTGTTTTTTTGTTCCAAAATGTGCAAGAGCACAGAAATGTCAGTTTAATGTATTTATTGTATTCTATTTAGCCTATATATGCGATTTTTCACACTTAAATATAATAGAAATCAAGTATATCCTCTGAAAATAACAATGGGTTACAACCTACAATAACAATCTACAATGGGTGTAACATCTGAGTCCCACTGTCTGTGATGCTTTCAGAGTTTTCCGAGTCATATTTTCAGTTTGTTTACATCGCCGGGAATAAAAGTTGTTTAATTGAGGGACTAGAGAAAAGAAGAACAACATACTGTACTCACTGCTAAACTGTGTTTCTAGATCACGCTCATTTTGGGTAAATTTACATGCAGTGTGAAGATACGAGCATAATAAAGATCGCTAGCATTAGCATGCCAACACAACAATGCACTGCAAGTTGTTTTGGTTTCATGCTGGTGCTCAAGGGTGATATCTGATGGATCAAAAAAATCACATATAAAGCCTTTTACCAAGTTTGTCCCATTGAGATGGGGGAAAAAAAACTCTATTCCAATGGACATCTGGTCCAACAGTCAGCAGCGAATCACAAAGTTACAGACAGAGACTGACTTTATGTTTTTGGAAGGTTTGGAAAACACTGTACTTCCTTATTTCAGTCAGAAGAGAAAAAAAGACCCCAGGTATTTATTTTCACTACTGTCTGCTATATCTGACACTTCAGTCTTTACCTGACAGCTGCAGTGAGTCCAGGATGTTACGTATGGAGGCCATCTTTTCAGAAGTGGCAGGACTGACCGTCTCGTGGTCCAGCATCTTCAGCAGAGAGCCCAGCTCGTTCACAAGTCGCTCCATCACGACTGAAAAACACAACAAATACAAAAGGCTAAATTATCTGCACTTGCAGGGTGAGAAATCATCCTTTGGCGAAGTCTTCTGAATATGAGAGCAGCCCATTCTGCAGTCATAACATAGTGAAAATTCTTATGCTGTTACACTAAATGCATCAAATGTCAATTTAACACACACATGCCATACACAGCCACACAGACGTGTGCCAGCAATCATGCAGTCAGTTTGGAACTTAGCTTACCGCCTGTTGCAACAGCTGACATGGAGGAGATCTTTTACACACTAACATATCATTCATAAAGTCTACCTCAGAGCCAGCCTTTTGAGCACTGTGAGTTTCCTGAGTGGTCTCTTGTTCCTACACCACAACTCGTCAATTTGTTATTGCAGTTTGGACATTTTAAACTTAAAACAAATAATTGTTTTCATGTTCAACACTGACATCCTGTGTGTCTATACGTGTGTCTCTGTGTGCATTTTGTTGACCTTGACATTGTCTAAAAAGCCCTGCCACACTGTCATACATCCTGCGGGCTCAGAAATGACAAAGAGCAAGGGGGGGGAGTCAAGAGTAAAGTAAAGAGGAAAGTCTGAAGTTCCACTAGAGATAGAAAAGTATATGAGTACACACTACAGTAGTCATTCAGTTGCTGGTTCATTCATGAGAGACGTCTCAGAGACAGACAGTGAGGCATTGGTTCAGGTCTTTAGTGTAGTTGACTTAATTAGATCCAGAGTACAGAGATAATTCATTTCAGTTCACTGGAAACTTTTACTGTCCAACTACAGCCACAATGCTCTTTTTCCACGCTGACATTCAAAGATTATTTTAGGAAAACCTTTAACCTTTTTCACTCTCTGAAATAAAATGTAATATTCATAGTGTTTTGTTTTGTCTTTTTATCCAGAGTACAGAAAAGTTTGAGCGGACGTTCAAGGACACTTCCGTGGGGATGTTTGAACCCATAAATTTGGGTTTTCTAAAAACAACTGTGTGGTCCGCTGAAAATGCAATCAACCTTCTGCACACATTTGGACACCAGGCCTTCCTATGATCTAAATAAAGAATCATTTTATGGAGTCACTTTTTCCACAATGTGCAACAGAGAGCAGCAGTGAGTGATGTAACAATATGTTAATTAGTTGACAACATTTCAATTAACCACCACCTACCTCAAAAAGCCCATTATTGTCTTAATGAATGAGTTTCATGATTCTGTATTTTGAGCTCATTAAATGTAATATTTTATGGTTTCTTTACTCCTCTTGGAAACACTCACATCTTTTATTATTTCTGACATTTTACAGACCAGACATTTTAGTGATTTATGGACAAATCAAAAGAGTCCTTGATAATGAAAATGTTTGAGTGGCAGCCCTACTGACAGACATTGGATGTATTAATCTGTGGTGCCAAGTCGAGTCACATGTCAAAAATGTATGCTTAAACAACAAAATAATAATAATACAGTTTATTTATAAGCGCTTTTAAAAGACACTTTACAATAGTTAGAAACAGAGAGAACAGCACAGTAAGGACAGACTAACAGACATTGCAACATTACACACAAATCATAAAGATAACAACAATAAAGGTGAAACTACAGAAAACAGAAAATACATCACAATCATACATTTAAAAAAAAAAAAAAAAGTTTCTCTGGGAAGCCATTACATGTAGATGCCTATGGAACAATAACTTACATGCAAATAATTGGTAGAAGAATTGGAACAAGGGTTAAGTTAAAATAAGATCAAAACAGTCTGGGTTTCTGACACACATAGAATGAACAAAGAGAGAAAAAAGCCCTCTGCCCCCCCAACATCTCCCCCAAGTCCCACAATACTCTATTGTCTCTACAAGGGCCAAATTTAGACGATCACAATGCTCCGCAAGACCAGAGCAAACAATACAATGTCAGAAAGTCCAACATAAACAAAACAGGAACTAACACACACACACACAGCAAAAGAGAGGCGTGGTGCTCCGCAGCTGCATCGGCTCAATCCACGGGCATTCTGGGTTAAAAGATATTTCTCCAGCAGCTGAGTGTGTGTGTGTGTGTGTGTGTGTGTGTGAGTGTGTATATGTGTGTGTGTGTGTATGTAGTATTTCTCAGCCAGCAGCTGTGATTTCCTGTCTTAGCTGCTGACAGAAGCTTTCCTCCACTCCTTCCTGATCTTGACTCTGTCCTCCATCGTTCTGAAATCTCACCTTCTCTGCTCCCACTTTTTCTTCCTGCTCTTTTCCTCTTCCATCTGTTTTTGTTCTCACCACCGATTGATGAAGATGTTAAGAAGCTTCTCAGCGGATAGTTGCTCAAGTTGAAGACCTATTGTGCGTCACTTTTCCAAGAAATGTTTCAACATATGCTATAAAAAATAAAACACTCTAATCAATGTCTGTGTAAACTGAGCTTAAAGTGGGATGATGGCGTTTCTGATGTGGCCTTTGGTCTATATTCTGCTTGTTGCAGTCGAACTTTACACAGACAGTCAAGGCCGTCCATTAGTTTTCTCTCTCTCTCTTGAAGTCTGTGTACATCTATCTCTCTCTATCACTTTCTCTCTCTCTCTCCTTCTCTCTCAGGGGGCACCCGAGGGTTCAGAGGCTGAGAATCAGCTGTTCTAGAGGCTTGTGGTCTGCCGCACCACAGAGGGATCTTTGTACACCCCCCATTCCACACAAACACAGGCGCACCAACACACACATGCATGATGCACACACACGGCACAGATTTCTTCTTGCAATCCTTTTTCTCCCTGAATTATTTATTTGTCTGTTACACAGAGACATTGTCCTATAAAAAAGAAGAAAAATACAGCCAAAAAGCATGACAGAAAAGAATCTGTGAGCTTTTACATACATTTTTGTGTGCAGACGGCCTTCCAGTATGAAGCGGTCAGTCATGGGACCTTGAAGCATGCGATTCTCATTGGAACTGATTTAGTTTGGTTGCAGCAAAGAACAAAACAACCTCGCTGCTGCTGTTTATCTCACCACATTATATTTAAGGGTGACAGAGAACTCATACTTTTATCCTCCTAACCTGAGGCTTTCACTCCCATCCATTACACGTCCAACCTATCAATCACATCAATCCTAGGCTAACCTCCTCCCTGTTTCGCCTCTCAAATCTTCACTTTACTACTGCAAACCTTTCAGAAATATGTGACGGCACTCAATTTCCTTGGTTGTCTAGTCTGTGTCCCCTGTAGTAGGTGAATATCGGAGCAGGAAACCTGATGCAAACATATGCTTTCTTTTCAGGAGACTTTTCAAGCCTCCAAAGTGTCTGAAGCTGATATTTTGCATCTTTCAAGTTCCTGCCTCCCCCACCATCCCAGAGGTTGATCCCACATTCTCCCTTCCACTCCTTTCTTTCTCTCCACTCCCTTGTCTGTCTGCCTCCCTCTATCCCTTCTCAAGACACCCATCCACTTCAGGCCGAGGTCACAGGTCAAGTCTTGGCGGCCCCAGCAGCTCCCTCTAAAACAAAAGTCTTCTTCACAGATCCAGCATCCTGCAATTCATAATTTCATGACAACAGTAGATTGGTGTCACTGCTCGCCCCGGGTTACCATTCAGTCAGACACTTTAAAAAAGTCCCCTCCAGAGCCAAAGTGGAGATCTTTAAAAAGAAACAGCTGGAGGAGAAGAGTCGTTAATTCTCTCTTTTTCACATTCTTTCAGTATCTTATCACTTTCCCCAGATAGGCTGGTAAATAGTGTGGAGACACAGGGAACAGACACTGTGGCACAGAAGGAGTTTAATCTAACAGCCAGACTGTTGTGATGTAGCTCACCAGGTAAGAGGCCATTTGAACACAGTTGTGACAGTGGGAATAACTTGCACGTTGCAATTAGCTAGACTTTATTCTTTGATGTATGCTTTAGTAAGGGGAATGTAATTGAAGTAACGTTAAACATTTCTTTATGATATTTTTAAAGCACTCATTTAGAAGGTAAAACAGGCTAATTCAGCTTATTTTAGCAAAGGCATTGGAAACTGGGGAAAATAACCTATAGCTTGGCTCAGTGTAAAAGTTGGCATAATTCCTAAAGCTCTATGTGAACATGCTCGATTTCCTTTCTCTTATGTGTCAAAACTGTTTTTTTTGTGCTAAGCTAGCTAACATGTTACTATCAATAGCCTGATATTTAAAAAGCTTTCATCATGTCTGTAATAAAAGGTTTGCTAAAGCTTGAGTAGGTATTGTTGGATGTATTGCAATGATTGTAGATGGTGTTCATTATATTAAGACCCCCATCTGGACAAAACATGATGTGTGTGTGTGTGTGTGTGTGTGTGTGTGTGTGTGTGTGTGTGTGTGTGTGTGTGTGTGTGTGTGTGTGTGTGTGTGTGTGTGTGTGTGTAATGTTTCTTCTAAGTGTTGTTCATCCCCAATTGAACTTAGTTATCAGAACACGTGTAGCACAGACCTGCTGCTCCGAAATTTCTAGCATAAAGTTTAGAAGATTTGAAGCCCGACTCACTTTAACTTTAAACTTCACAGAAACAAAATCAGTGAAAATGACTTTGTGGAGGCAAAGCCATTTCCCTTTTCAACTAAAATAACTGAAGAGTTCTGGACATCCTGACAGGGAGAGGATGGAAAGAGGGGGCAGGGTGGAGTATCACTGGATGAGGAGGAGGAAAAGGGAAAAGGAAGTGTGTGAGAGAACCATGGTCGAGGTCAAGGCTCGTGGCAGTGGTTAAACAGACGACTTATGTTCCAGTGTGGGTGTTCAAAATGCAATCAGGAATGGACGTACAAACTCTACCAAAGAATGTATGAAAACTTTGCCCCTGTTGTTCTACCATTCTAACACTTCTCAACATTTTAATGTTAACACATGTCTCCTTCTGTTTGTTGTGGTAGGTGAGATTTTGGTCCTAAATGCTTAATTAAAATGGTCTTGTTTTTTCCACAAGGGTATTTTCTTATCAAGTGCACAGCTGTAGATGTGGAAACAATACATCTCAGAATGGCTTATTAATGATGGTTTACACGTCGTCAAACTGTCACACATTCTTTTTTTTTTTTTTTTTAAATGGAAATCAGCTTGGACACTGGTCTGATACGACTGTAGGTCAAAAGTTATTTACACGATTTAGCAATTCTCAAAAGGTTTGGTGAAATATGTCAGAATGTTGTTTCTAAAATAAGCACAAGTGACTTCTTAAGTTACACCTTTCTATGTTTTCTTTTTCAGGAACTGACACAATTGTTGTGTGTGAATTGTTACCGAGCCAAAAAAATAAAGGGCCAATCAGATCAATTAGCCTACTTGAAGGAAAAACAACGTGAAGGATTATTTGAAGGAGAAGTTCTGATGATTTCCTCTGACTTGTTGTATCCTTTTGAATAGTCATCTTCGTTTCTCAGATATTTGAAAGCCTCATCACCTGGTGTCTCATAATGCAGCTTCCTGTTTGCAGCCCTGCAGCCTGAAGGCTCTGAAACAGAGCGGCCATTGAGCTGCGGCCACCGCAGCTTCACTTCCAGCGGCGCTGCTTCCAACAAGGCACTTCCCTGTTGGTATCAAATTGCATCACTCTACCTGTGTGACGACACCGCCTTCATCCACACACACACACACACACACACACACACACACACACACACACACACACACACACACATTCACACAGCACACACCACACCGGCGTGTAGGTGTATGACATCACTACGATAGGCTTCTTCTGCCGTAAACCAGGAGCAGGGTACGAGAGCCGTGCTCGGTTTCCTCAGACAAAACATCTGGGACATACTTTCACGTTTCATGAGAAATAAATGAAATTAAGAAGAAGGTCTGCTTACACGTTGAACCGTTACCCAAGTTTATGACGAGAACAAATACAACATTTTTTTTTGGGCAGGATAAACCCCAACGCGTTTCTGTCCTTTTAAAAGGTTATTACTTCTAATGTGTGTTTTTTCCTAAAGTTACTCCAGTCAGTGAAGTTACTGCGAGTCAAGACAAAACATTTGATATCAAAGGAGAGACTGTTACTCACCACTTTGGCGTATGGAGTTCATGTCGTTTCAGGTTAGAAACACGCTGCTTGTTTCAGAAGTTAGTCCTTTAGTTAGTTGTTTCATTCAATGGTTGATAAAGACGTGTTCGCCACAGACACCGCGGAGCTCTCCCAGCCTCCGCGCGGCTGAGTGAGTCAGTGGCCGCTACAGTTTTGTAGTTTGACTCGCAGCCGCTGGTTCATCATCTCTGAGCTCCACTGGGTCCTAGTGCTACACCACAGATGTCCTCTAAATCTGTGGTTTTCAACTAGGCTAATAGATACTACTCCCTCATCTTTGTCAGAGATTTTCTCATCCTTTCTTTTTAACTTAACAGGCGAAAGAAATATAACAAGTTAGCCCTGTGAGTGTAGGCCAGGAGTGGGCAGCATGCGGCCCCCATCAACCCTCAACGTGGCCCTCAGGTCACGTTCCAATTAATTGGAAAAATGAAGAAAACATGACAAAACCTGCCGTGAAATCATGAAAACCAGAAATATGTCCATAATAATATTTGATCACTGGTATATGTTGAGTTAAATTTGAGACATAGTCGACTGTAATCGTTTTTTGTATGCTACAATTTGGCCCCCTGGCAGTGAGAATTAAATGAATGTGGCCCTTGCTGTGAACGTTGCCCATCCCTGTTGTAGGCTATAGTAAAGCTAAATGTTTCATCAGGTTAGGCTATGCATTACGATACTATCCTAACTTTCTCAACACTTTCACATACATTTTAGCTTAGGCCTATACTTCAATCCTCAACATGTTTTGTTTCCCATCCCCAATGGTGTAAAATAATGTTTTACACAGTTTATTCATTAGTTTAAGATTTCCATTTTAATCCATTTGTTTTAAGCTAACTATAGAAACCATTAGTTTAAGTTAAAAACATGTTGTTTTTTTACTTTTTATTCCTCATCTAGGCTACTAGCCTATGTTTAGCACATTTATTCAACAAAGTATCCCACACTTAATTGTAATTAATTCCACATTTGAGCCATTATTTTAAAGAAACTTTTACAATAGGCCTGTATTATTCAGATTTGGCTCACTCAGTCATAAGCCTAAATGTTGCTTTAGTTTACCATTTCTACAAGTTATCTAGTTTTGACCGTTTATACTGTAGTTCGATTTATTAATTGACCATACATCTACAATTTTTTCTATGCCTTGACGTTTTAGTTTTACTGTCCTGTGTCTTTGTCCAATTGTACTGTCTACATGTTTTCCAATGGTTTTTATGCTACAAATGGCAATAAACTGAACTGAACTGAACTGAACTATCCGTCCATCAGTTTGCCCATCTTTCGAAATGTTGAGCCGTTTTTTAGATAATTAATGACATTCTGTTAAACACGTGTGGTGAGGGGGTCAAGGTTAGACAGAAGTACAAGCTGGAAACATCTGGGCTTCAATTCAAGTATATATATTTTTGAATATGTTATTACAAGTCCTGTATGTTGGTTAATTCATTTGTTCGTTCTGCTCTTACTTCTTAAGAAAATAGTAAGTAGTAGTAGTTGAAGCTCAGTAATACTCTAACCAGGTTGCTGTTGGTCTGGTGAAAGCTAACATGAAAGAAGTCGATGATGGATTTCTAGTGAATTACTTAATAAAACATTTGAGTAACACATTTCTGGACATCTTTGGAAGACTTATTATCATCATCAATCCCAGCTATCATCATGAGTTGCACTCTTTAATGATATGAACAAGGACAATACAAAATAAACAGTGATGCCTGAATCATTTATTCAGGAGATGTCTTGGCTGACATGGGCTTGCATACTATAAATGTTTTAAATTAAGACCTGTAAAGACATACACACCTGGTGGTACCAGTTTTCGCAGCAGCAGGAAACAATATTCCATCTTGTACATTCAGGTAAAAAAACGACTAGTTAAATCCCTTCAAGCCAGACTCGTGCTGTTTCCTTATAGATGTTGAACACTTTCCTTTAGAAACAAGTCAACTCTTGATTAACATATCGGAGGGAGTTCTTTACAAAGTTTCTTTTACATTGGCTTTGTCGTCCATTCTTCACACATTCCTTCCCTTTTAGCTTCCTTTTCTCTATTCCCTTTTTTTCTTTAAATCTCCCTCATTCCTGTCTTAACCTAATCGTTCTTTTGAGGGTTTATGAATACAAATCCATTAAAACCCTCTATCTTAAATTTGCTGTAATTACGCACAGACACACACAGTTCCATTTTGCATAAACATAATCCAGCACCTTCATGAGTGCAGCTGAAGGTATAAATTAACAAAACTATGATTTCATTAAAGGGACAAGGGAAACACAAATATTGTAAAGTGTTCAAACCTCATTTCTAAACTTAACTATAACATTTCTGTGTTTAGAGCCATGACTAATTGTATTTCAAAGACCACTTCAGTGACCTTACATTCAGCCCAGATCATAAAGAAGAACCAAAAACACTGATATGGCTCCAGAAAAACTGACATTACAATCAAACACATGCCTGTATTACAAAAGAAAAACTTTTTTGTAATTCAAAACTTTGAATTTTAGAATCAATACATTATAAAACACTGTATGTATGTCATGCCCAAACCCCTAATGTTGAGGACCACACAGTTGTCCACACAGCTTGGGTTATTTTTGTCATCAGCAACATATCAGTCGGTCTTTCAGGCAGCAAAGATGCTTTCCAAATCAACCTCTGTCACTTGGGGCATAAATTGGTGTTTGACTCATTGTAGCAGACCATCAATCTGGTACCAAGTCCTTCAGCTAACACTCCACCTGCTCTGCTAATGCTCCTGCAAACACAATGCCATCTGCTGGTTGGAGATGGAGACTCAGCCAACTACTCCCTCTCCTCATCA